TAGGAACGGTAGTAGGTACCGTCGCAGCGTTTACGGCAATCAGTTGTTGTTTCTTCGAGGATTCTTGGGAAGACCCACCCTTCCGCTTATTCCACCCTCTCTTGTTGTTGTTGTTGTTGTTGTTATTGTTGTTTCCCTTTTGTGGTTCTGGTGCAGAAACTGTTGAGTTTTGATGATTTCTATGATCAATAAGCGATTGTGCCAGCTCCTTGGCACTTTCAAAAGTGTTAGGTTTTGAAGCTAACACGCTTGACTGAATTTGGAGAGACATTCCCCAAATGTATTGCTCTATTTTCTTGCTCTCGGGAGCAATCATATCTGGGCAAAGGATTGCCAGATCGCAGAATTTGTTGGTATAAGTTGCTATGTTGGTACCAATCATTCCCAAAGTCCAGAGTTCGTGCTTGAGTTTTTGAATCTCTCCTCGTGAACAGTACTCTCTCATTAACATGATTTTTCAAGCTCTCCCAGCTTGTTGAGTTTGCCACTATCAGGGTAAGTACCTTAACGTGGGCATTCCACCAAGTTAAACCCCTATCAGTAAGTGTGTAACTTGCAAACTTGACTTTTCTGTTCTCTAGGTAGGAGCAGATTTCAAATATCGATTTCGTCCTTTCAATCCACTGCTTTAAAATCATCACACCACACGTTCCATTAAACATCTGGGGCTTAGCATTCGTAAAGTCTTTATAGGTGCACTCCCGGGGTTGCCCATGACTATCGCCATGGTATGAAGGATGTATGCCAATTACTGAACCAGTAGTAACAGGGGTATTGATATGTGACATGGCAGCTGCTACAGTTGCGGGGACTGCAGCCTGGAACATGACAGCATCAAATTGAGGAGGTGGGGTGGTGGTGGTATCGGTGCTTCCCCACCATTGTTTCGTCTCGGATTTCTACGCGGAGGCATCCTTCAACTAAAGATTTAAAAGACAAGGGTAAGAAGTCTATAGTATAGAACATGTATGTGTCTCATGAACTAAATTGCTATAGTTCCACAACAGATGATAGTATGAGTCTCAAAGATAGAAGAGCGAAGGTTATTCGTAAATCCGAATATATGAACAAGCGTATGGTTTTTCCATAATATTTTAAAGATCGAACGAGATACTCAACGTAGTAGTAATAGCGTGCGAATTATATTAATATAATAGATGATACAACGATCACGAAAATTTGACCCTTAAAAGGTCTCCGATTACAAGAATTTAAAGGAAGTAAAAACTTTTAGCCGAGTCCTATCTTATAACAAAATTGGAGGTTTTCGCAAGTACTACTTGCGACGTGTGTTGCGCTTGGAGCTTAACTCCGCATCCGATTGCTTTGACTCCATAAGACGCCTATCGAAGGCGGCTTGTTGTTCCCTCAACTCTGCGAAGGCTGCATTCATTTGTGCTTGGAATGCATCAGCACGGAGGTGGGTGTCATTCTTCAACATATCCAGACGACGGATATCGGCCGTTTGGACTTGTACTTCCACGTTGACTTCGCGGATTTGGTTGGCTTGGACCCCCGATTGGTAGGACTGGGTGGGCAGTTTACCTACCATCACCGGAAGTGCTCGGTCGGCTGAACCTCCGTCCCTGATGTCGTAGAAGTCTCGACACATACCGTAGGGAGAGCGTATCCCATGTTGTTGGCTCCAGTGGACGAGGTGACTTCCCCAAACGAGAGTCGGTCCTTGGAAGTTCCTCCTAATGGCTGGAGGGTTGACTACTTTTGGTTCCGACTCTGTACCAAAGTCGTCCCCTCCATCCAACTCGATAGGCTCTTCATCCTCTTCCGGATCCTCCTCTACCCATCCTCCGTTGCCTTGGTTCGGGTAGTAGGGGTCCGCATGCGGGTGAAATCCAGCCATTTGACTATACGAGAATATGGTAATAAGATTTGAACAAAAATTGAGAACATGTAATACTAATTAATCTATTGTATGCACCAAATACTCCTATAGTATTTAAATTGTACGTTTGATACTAGTGTCCATTTTTGGTAAGTTTTGACTTGTTGCTCACTACGATCATTCCTCGATATACGTTAGTCTAATTTCGGATAAACATAGTTGATGAAGCTATATTCATCCCAAATTTGATTACATATCTTGAGAACTAATCGTAGTGTCCAACTTGTCTTAATACTTTTGTATAGTTCTCATCACGAAAATATGTGGTTGTATGTATGCATTTTGGATTTTCATGACCTAAAATAATCTATTTAAATGAAATAAGAATTTTAGGTATGAAAACTTTTGTCAGAGACTTTGAGTCCCTAAGCATTTATTGTTTGTATATCTTATGAGGTTCGATATACTTAGTTCACTATAAACATTGCTCTGATACCAATCTGTCACACCCCCAAACCGGAACGGTGGAAACATTCGTGAGCGGATGACTTCATGTGGTAACGTAACAAATGAATACATAGTAAAGAAAGCAATACAACCATCACATATATAATTGAAAGTTTACATTGTTCAAAAGAGTACATGTTCAAAACCAATTACAATATGATGTCAAAATATGAATTTAAACTATTGCCAAAGTGTTCCTTCTTCAAAAACTGTTTAGTCCCTATAATTACTAAGTCCCTGGGACATACAAGTAGTTTTGAAAGAGTAGATCAGCATTTAAGCTGGTGAGTTTCATAAGCATTTAATGATAGTGTTTGTATGAAAATGAAATGGTTCGTTTTTGTTCGTTAGACTCTAGAAAATCGTATATTTCCTACTGGTATAAATGTAGCCTTAAATCAAGACCAATATATGTTAAAAAGTTGATGTTTTTCCATCTATGAGTGGTGGTTAGAAGCTCCAAACCTATATCCCATTTCGGTTTTTCATGCATAAAGTAAATGAACTTATGTATGTATAAAACCTCCATTATATCTGAAAACCCCCGTAAATCAATGTGTTTTTAATACTCTATGTGAGTTTTATAACCATGCTATTGACAAGGAATGCCTATACACAATGTTCATTAGGCGTTGGAATGTTCTGACGTTTGTCACCCCAAATGGTGTACTGTAGGTAATAGTCAGGGCGCGGGGTTGTCAAGCCCGTATAGATCTATACACAAACACCATGCTAACCGTCCAAAGGATTATGGTATATAATACAGGATTTGAAATTGGTACTCGTGCGTACGTGAAGTTTAATGTCTCACAAAACTTAGTATAAAACAGATTTACGTGTGAAAATGTTCGTTTGTTATTGTATATAAAAGTAGCTTCTTGAAATAGTATTTCCATGTGTGTAAAAGTTCATAGTATTCTCGTAAAACTATACCTATTATACTTTCCTAAAAGTGTGTTTCGTTTGTATAATAAACCCTTAGTGAAAATGCTCACTTGTTATGAAAAGTGTAGTTTTTGTAGTGCCAAAACCGACACACATAAATATAGTATAAGCAAAGTGTCTGATTTATATAAATACATAAATCATTTCTCATTTCAAAAGATAAAATGTTGTCGTGGTATAATTTGCATATGAAAGTTTCCCTATAATAGTTATAAATCACATATGATTCCTTTGATAAAACGCGTATAGTGAAAGTTTATATAACACACAATAATAATCGAGTGTTTTACTTGTATTCCCCCCCCCCCTTAAAAGCATAGAAAAGTACTCATAAAACATTTAAAAGTGTGAATTATAAGGGTATGAACTCACTAGAAAGATCGGAGGATGCAGGATGAAAACCAGATAGAATTTCAACTCGAGAAAGTGGATTTCCTTGGGATTCTCGGGAATCTCGGGAGCACAAACAACCTTTGGGACTTGAGCAAAGTGATCGGGGCTTCGGGGTAAGAACGCAAGAGAAATGAGAGAAATGGTGCCTTTTCTTCGGAACCCTCGCATCCCTTTTATAGGGGTTGGGAACCGCCTCGGTACGCTGGGCGTACGCGTGTATGCTGGGCGTACGTGTGCATCACGCATGACCTAATCCTTGACTGCCTCAGAGCTCGGATGGGATGGGGCATAGCCTCGCATAGGGCGCGAAGTGGACGATCCGAGGCCAAGGCCTTGCGTACGCTGGGCATACGAGCTTACGCTGGGCGTAACTCGGGCCTATCTGATGACTCCCCTTCGGATAATACCAAGGTTTATAATTAAAATTTATATTTTAATTATTTAATAAACTTCAAAAATTCATATCTTCTTCATACGAACTCCGTTTTCGACGTTGATTATATCCACGCGAAGGTGAGACCATAGTCTACAACTTTCGTTTAGATCCTGTCGGAAAATTTTGAAATTATTTTTATTATTTAGTTTTAAAAGGTCGTGGTAAGAAAATTTCTTTAAAAATTCATAACTTCATTATCTGGCATATGTTTTTGCCAGACTTTTTACCACTGAAATACCATTGTCGAGACCTTCGATTCTCGTTTAGGTCATTCGGGCGAATTTGGAAAATTTATAGCTTTCTTATACGAAGTCGGATTTGGGCGTTCTTTTTATGTACGATCACGATTTAATGACATCTAACATAATAGGTAATTTAATTAGTGATTTTTGGACATTTTATTTTCGAAGTTAATTTTATTATAACGAACGTGGTTACAATACTTGACTTTTTAGGTCGTTTACATATAGTTGAAATATCGGGTTGTCACACGCAATGCGTATCAAGGAAGGCCCTGTCATAAAGGAAGACGACACGCATTCGTGTGTCGTAACCTTACGACGCGCGTGTTAATGACACGCAATGCGTATCAAGAAAGCCCTTGTCAAGAAAGGCCATGTCATAAATGAAGATGACAGACATTTTTGCGTATCATAATTTTAAATGTTTAAAAAAAAGATTATTTATAGATTTACTTATTTTCAAATTAAATTTGTATTTAATGTTTCATAATAAAAAATAACATATCATATACAAAAAATAGAATCCATTGCATAATTTAATGTCATACAATTCTATTTCTTACAATATATAAATTTGCATCTAATCTAGTATGTACATCAAATTCCAACTAAGTAAAGTTGCATCTTGCTTTTCTTAATTCTTTGAGACTAATGCTCCAAACAACTGATTATATGGATAAGCAGTTGTACATTGGCCCATCTCACACAATAATGACTTAGCCAAATGCAACTCCAAATCTTTACTGCATCTTGCTGATAATGCTGCAAGATTTAAATCAAGTGGCTTCATATTCCTTTCTTCCATCAACTTTACCTGATGCACAAAATACACAGAAACAAAAAAAAAAAAAAAAAAACATTATAGAGGAAGGGGTAATCTGGGAAAATGTGAGGGGTACAATATAATAAGAATGCAAATACTTAATACCACTTTCATGCCATCATGGAAACGTGTTGTCACTACTAGAAAGTAGAAACTAACTAAATCAGTTTTTTTATCGGTTATGATTGTATCTATTTTCAGTGATTTTGGATTTGTAACTTATTAAATGATTGTATCTATTTTCAGTTTTTTTATCGGTTATGATTGTATCTATTTTCAGTTTTTTTGTCGGTTATGATTATATATGTTCAGGAATTAGGAGATATTTTCAACTTACATAATAATCTTTTTATTTGTAATTTTTTTTTGCATATATTGAATCTTTTTGGCTGTAATTTAAATGTATATATGTAATCATTTTTTGTTGTAATTTTAACTTTGATCCATGTAATATGATTTTTTTCAATGACACACAAGGTTGACACTCAAGGTTGAATGTTTTAGTTATCATGATTATTATTATTATATCTTTTTATATATCTAAGATTTACAAAAAATATGGATTTTTTACCAAACGGATATCCATCAGATTCCCCGTATCTAACGGGTTTTCTTTTAACCGAATCAATATGGAAACAAAAGTTGTATTTTATAAAATTACCCAAAATTACGAAAAACCAAAATATTTTGTTAAGTTATGATGTACCTCGATGTAGATGAAGTGTTCAGCTTTTTCAATAAGAGAAAAGTAAGCTTTGTGAATGCTCTCTTCAACTTGACTTGTCCCAACTGACCATTGACTCACACTCCTTAAAACCTACAATCCCTATGAGCATGAACTGCACATCAGGACAAAAGAGAACCCAAATAAACCTCAAAGACTAACTCATTTGAATGCACATAAGGAAATCTTGAATCACCAGAGGAAAAGGTAGATGTAATGAGATCACCAGACCAACAGTAGGAAAGTAGATGAGCATCAACTGGTTCAGTTTGCCACCCCTGACCATAGATAGCATAGGATATGAGTAAACAAATATAATTGTCTTGGTATTTGTATATGATTACATTACTTTATGGGATATTGTCAAGAAAACTGGTTCAGATTTGAACTCTTACTCCAAAATTTTCATTTAGGCTTCTATTTTTATCCGCTGTTCTTACCTTTTAACAACTGTAAAAATAGTAGAACTAGAAAAAACCCTATGGTACATACAGATGCAGTTACTCTATGCAACCAAACCAACCAATACTCTCTACATACATACATACAATACAGATACAGATACATATAGATAGATATAAATACCACAAGAAAGAATAATAATAAAAAAAATAAAAAACAAAACTTGGGGAAAGGAAGGGTTAAATCTTGAATGCATTGGATCTCTCCCATCATAATACGGTTGCTGGTAACCTTAAACCCAACTAGAGCCGGGTCGATCTACCTCAACTTTTTTCCTTTCTTTTTCCCACCACCACCAGTTTTGCTATTGTGTCCCTCTACCGTACCCGCTAGATCTGGTGAGGGTGGCTTCCTAATAAGATGATTATTATTACTGCCACGGATGCATCACTCAATGATGACGTCCTCCTAAACCCACCACCACCTACCATCATCATCATGTTCTCCGTTGTTTCTCTTTCTCTGAAAGTTGAATCCACCTCACACAACCCCCCTTCATGAGATGGTGATGATGATAAAGGACGTCTCACCAATATATTTATATTATCAGTACTACCACTACGACACCTTTTTGACCCCCTGCTGCATACAAACCCTCAACATAAGAAACCAAAACATATCAATTATCTGTCATAGGATTAATAACTGAAATTACCTGTCTTGACCCTCTCCTGCTGCTGCTGCAAAAGACTCGACCCTATGATTGTACAAGCTTTTATTCCCACATGCTAATATCACATCACAACACAAATATATTTATTTACTATGCTACGCATAAAAAATATATACCGTCATAAACAGGATATAAATTTACCAAAATTATTTGGCATTTCCCCATGGTTTATAGCAGCAACACCACCTTGTTGATTTTCTGGGCTACACGTATCATCATGTTATTGTTGCCACCTTCATTTTTAGGTACTTTTCTATTGGAATTTGTATAGACTGCCTCCTGAGTCTCAGAAAAGAATGGTACTAGCTCTTGTGTTGAGCTTGAACTCTGCTTCCTCCTATTAGGAGACCTAGGAAATTACACTTGAGTCTCTTTCAGGCATCCCATTGTTGAAAAGCAAACCACCTGCATGAAAATCAAGAAATGAGACTTTCTTTCCCTAACTTTTTCTGAATTTTCCCTTACTTGACAAATTGTGCAGAAACTAAGTTCTTGATCAGCAAATGAAACAACTTCCAACATAGAAGACATAAATACCCTTGTTTTCAAATAACCTGAAATAAAATCCTCTGATAACCCCAATCCAGCATTCCCAATCTACTCACCTAATGCAAAAGCTCCTGCATATACACAAAAGGTCATTTTTGTAATTTGACTAAAAGCGAAGCCAACCTTTGTATACCTCATAACACATATGATCGATAACCATACACATATCTCTATGTTGATCAACTCTTCATCCATAATTAGAAATATCAAGCATTGCAGCACCTTGTTATTAGAAACAAATAAATTAATAAAAGGAATTTCATTTTCTTGCATGATTTGATTATAAAGAGAGTAATATTTAATAATAATAATAATACATCTTCAGGAAGAACTCTTAAATGTGGAAAGCCATGTGGTCTTTCCAATCTCGGTTAAAAGAGGGGTTTATGTAGAAGCTAGGGTTTATAAAAATGCAAAATTCCATTGAAGGAAAAAAGTTAGAGCATCAATAGAGATGAAGATCGAAACCTGCTTGAGATCTGGTCGAGATAAATTGGACTTGACAAAGAAATTCAACGCATTGTTCTTCAATGTCAAATAAATTGAGTAGACGGTCTGATTCACCTATCGTTCAATGAAATGATTCAAACAGAAGCCCTAATTTTAAAAGACGATAGCTATACTAAAAAAGAGAGTCAACATGACAAGTATCAAGAGGTTCACATTACCCTGGAGATGACTTGAGAAGTATTAATCAAAAGTTTCAAGATCTCTCTACTACAATGGTTCAATCCCACATTTTGATTCTGCCACAACCACCACAATGGTTTTGATTCTCGATTCAGTATAGGGAATAAACCATACGAGAGCTATCAAATAACCCTTGGAGTGAAATTAAACAAACCGTGAAGATTTTAGTGGATAGATGAAAGGCGATTTTAGTGAAGAGATGAAGAGCTGGGGAGGGGACGAAATCGATTTCTAATTGAAAAGAAAAATCTAATTGAATAGATAAACCTATTAAGGTAGCAGTCAGGGAGGTGAGACGGGACGCAATCATAGGTGTGGTGTAAGAGTCGCATTTGTAGTCATCAGTGCGATGGAGGAGTCACACACCTAATTGAGAGTGAAACGATTCTGTTATAAGTATTAGCTTATCGTTGGTCGATTTGTAATGAGGAAGGACTGACGTCGCCGGAGGAGAAGTGACCAAAGGCGAAGCAAGGTGAATCGTCCATTGTTTCGGAGCTAAGAGAGATCCGAGATTGTTTTTGTTATTGAAAAAAGCCCTAGCTAAAATGGTCACAACGATTTTGTGGAATTTAGTATTTGGTGATGTTTTGGGATTTTGTTGTGCGAGAAAAGAGGAGTGGTTATGATATTAGGGTTTTTTGGGTATTGATCAGTGAGGAGAGGGAAGAACGATGAAAATAATGCAGAGTATAAACGAGATGTTTGATGATAATGAAGATGAAGATGAGGGACCTAGGGCTTTTTCTTGCTAAGTAGAAGAGGCGGGGGGATTAATTTTTAGGATTCAATATGCGGGGGTAATTTTTTTCGATTTCATTTCCCACCTAAAACGCGTGTTTCACTTAAAAATTATAAAGCGACACCTTTACATGACGCACATTTTATGAAAGGCGCCCTCCACATTTTTTTTCTTTTCTGACACTAATTTTAGGGCGTGGACAAATGCGTGCCCTTTATCCTTCAAATTTTGCAAAACTGTCATTATCTTTTAGGGCACTTACAAATGCGCATTGTCTATCAGCGAGTGTCATTGTTTGTGCGTCATTAAAGGGTTGTTTTCTTGTAGTGATGTTAACTTTGGGGAGGATTTGGCCATTGACATTGTTCTTCACTCCTTTCCTTCATGCTACAACCAATTTAGGATGACCTACCACATGAAAAAGGAAGAGGTCACCCTAAGAAAACTCCAAGGACTCCTAAGGAATGCTGAGAGCAACCTTTAGGAAAAGTCTGTTGCACCAACTCCCGCACCAACTGCTGCTCCTGTTTTGGCTGTAGGGCAAGGAAGGGGCAAGAAGTGGAAGGCTCTGTCAAAGAGCCACCGCAAGGGAAAGTCCCAAGATGGTTCCTCTTCTAGTGGGACCAAGGTTGATCATGCAAAGCCCAACCCTAACCCGAATGAGGCAGAGTGCCATCATTGCCACAAAATAGGGCATTGGAAGAGAAGCTGCCCGAAATATCTGCAAGCCATCAAGGATGGAAAGATCAAGCCATCTTTTGCAGATATATACATAATTAAATCTAATAATTCATCTCATACTATTTCTTGGGTTCTTGATATAGGATGTGGTTACCACATTTGTTCTGATGTGCAGGGACTAAGAAGTGATAGAGATGTGGAGCGAGGAAGAATGAATCTAATCATGGGAAATAGAAGATCGTCGCTTGTCACCAAGATTGGAGTGTATTCTTTAGCGCTTAGTAATGAATTAGGTTTAGATTTAAATAACTGTTGCTACTCGCCAGATATGGAAGGAAACATCATTTCATTTCATGGCTTGTTTAGACAAGGATTTAGATATTCGTTTAATAATGTGAATGGTTCTATTTATGCTTATCGAAATGGTGTTTTATACTTTAAAGCAATGCCTTGTAATGGAATTTAAGAAACTGTTATGGTTGTAGATAACCTAGGAAATGATGTGTTGTGTATATATTCTTCCAATAGTATGGATAAAGCATCTTTGTGGCATTATCGTCTTGGACATGTCAACAAGAAGCGCGTAGCCCAACTCCAAAAGGATGGAGTGTTGGAGTCATTCCACATTAGGGAAGATGACACATGTGAATCTTGTTTACCTGGAAAGATGAACAAGTCACCCTTCTATGGCACTTGTGAGAGGGCTGAGGGTTTATTGGATCTCATACATACCGATGTATGTGGGCCCTTTAGATCTACCACAAAGGATGGGAACCGCTTCTATGTGACTTTTACTAATGATTATAGTAGATATGGGTATATCTATTTAATCAAGCATAAGTCAGAAACGTTTGAAAAATTCAAAGAATTCAAACATGAAGTGGAGAATTAATTGGGCAGGAAAATCAAGATGCTTCGATCCGATCGAGGGGGAGGGTACCTAAGTCTTGAATTCCACGATTATCTCAAGGAATGTGGAATAGTTTTGCAATCGACGCCACGTAGGACACCGCAGTTGAATGGTGTGGCAGAAAGGCGCAATCGTATCTTTTTAGACATGGTTCGTTCTATGATGAGTCGTGCTTCACTACCTATCTCATTTTGGGGGTATGCCTTAGAGACTGTCGCCCATATCCTTAACTGAGTCCGTACAAAGAAGGTTGCCAAAACACCTCACGAGATGTGGACAGGGAAAGATCCCTCGTTAGCACACATTAATATTTGGGGTTGTGAAGTTTTCGTAAGACGAGAAACTCACGACAAGCTCGAACCTCGTAGTGAGTGATGTATTTTCATCGGCTACCCGCATAAATCCTTTGGATATCTCTTCTATAGACTGAGTGACAATGTAGTCTTCGTAGCAAGGTGAGGGGTTTTCTGAGAACGAGAACTCATAAACCAAGGAGATAGTGGGAGGCAGATCGATCTTGAAGAGATTCAAGAATCAAGTAATGAAGGAACCTCTACCGCTGGCGCTCAACCTGAGGTGGAATCTCCGGTTGAACCGATTGACCAATCCTTACCTCTTAGACGTTCCGAAACAGTTAGAGTTCAACCCCAGTTATATAATTTTCATATTACTACTGAAGGGGACATGTATATTAGTGACAGTACACTAGTAAACCTAGATGAACCTAATAGCTATAAGGAGGCTATGGCAAGTCCGAAGTCTGCTAAATGGAAAGAGGCAATGGATAGCGAGATTCAGTCCATGTATGACAACCAAGTCTGGAATTTGGTTGGCAATGTGCCCGGACGTAAGACGGTTGGGTGCAAATGGATCTTCAAGAAGAAGACCGACGTGGATGGGAATGTACACACGTATAAGGCATGACTAGTGGCGAAGGGCTTTACTCAAACTCCTGGAGTTGACTATGATGAGACCTTCTCACCAGTTGCTAAGATAAAATCTATTAGGGTGTTGCTGGCCATTTCCGCATTTCATGATTATGAGATATGGAAAATGGATGTCAAAACCGCTTTCCTTAATGGGAAGTTGGCTGAGGATGTTTACATGGCTCAGCCAGAGGGTTTTGTTAATCCGAAGCATCCCAATAGAGTGTGCAAGCTTGAGAAGTCCATTTATGGACTTAAGCAAGCATCTTACAGATAGAATCTTTGCTTTGATAAGAAAGTCAAAGATTTTGGATTTCTACGAAGCGAAGATGAATCTTGTGTATATATCAAAGCCAGTGGGAGCATAGTTAGCTTTCTCATTTTGTATGTCGATGACATACTACTCAAAGGAAATGAAATCCCGACTCTACATGAGGTAAAGTCCTGGCTCGGGAAGTGCTTCGCTATGAAGGAACTCAGAGAGGCTTCGTACATATTGGGAATAAGGATACTGAGAGAAAGAAGTGAGAGACTAATAGGACTTAGTCAAAATACTTACTTAGATAAAGTACTAAAACGTTTCAGTATGGAAAACTCGAAGAAGGGAGAACTACCGATACAAAGTAATACAAAGTTGAGTAAGACTCAAAGTCCGAGTACTGGAGCCGAGATAGCTGAGATGAGCCGAGTACCTTATGCTTCCGTAGTTGGTTCAATCATGTATGCTATGACTTGTACTCACCCTGATGTGGCCTTTGCTTTGAGCATGGTCAGTGGATATCAAGGGAATCCTGGAAGAGCGCATTAGATTGCGGTAAAAAACATCCATAAGTACCTTCGGAGGACCAAGGAATGGTTTCTAGTCCTCGGAGGGAGTGATGACTTAAAGGTGCGAGGATATAGTGACACCAGTTTCCAGATCGACAGGGACAACTACCATTCGCAGTCAGGATGGGTATTTACCCTTATTGGAGGAGCGATAACATGGAAAAGTTCCAAACAGGATATTGTATCTGATTCAATGTGCAAATCAGAGTACATTGCAGCGAGCGAAGCATCAAAAGAGGCAATATGGCTGAAGAACTTCATTGGCGATCTTGGAGTTGTGCCTGCTATAAAGGAGCCTATGGAAATTTTCTATGATAATGAAGGAGCGGTTGCCTTGACCAAGGCACCGAGGGATCATAGTAGATCTCGACATATCAACAGAAAATATCACTTTATTAGACATCGAGTAGAAGAAGGA